ATTGTTGTTTGTTGCTTATATTTGCACGCCAAAAGTTCAAAAAATAATTTCGTCAATTCGTTTTATTCAAATTAAAAGCAAGGGTAACACTAAGACTCGGAAAGAAAAATATTTTTCAACAGCTTTCAGCTCATTATCTTAATTGTTCATATGGATATTTTATAATAACTATTATCTTAATAATGTAATTCTAAAAGCTCATACTTACTACAGAATCATTTACTAAGGTACTAATATATACATTCATAGAATTTATACAACTTTCTTTTCGTTAAAAGTCAGTTTTCGAAAAGTGTTTTATTTTAGTTTAATTTTTGTAATATTAAACACGTTTTAAATTTAACAACACGCAAAGAAATATTTTATTTGTTAGTTTTACTAAGTTGTTTGCATATCCTCTCAATGCTTTATTGGTAAATCTATTTTTAAAAAATTAATTAAGGCACGAATTTATAGTCACTTATTATTACAAAATTTTAAATTCGATTCTAGGTAAAATAATTAATGCTGATAAATATCGTGTTTCATTTGATATTTTGTTCATTCCACGCAACGCGGTTTGATTTCCAAAATCATTCCCACTCGACCATCTCAGATTTTGATAAAATTATGTCAGTATGTAGTTTTTTCATTAAAATCGTCAAAGTTTCAGGTCAAAATTTTTTTAATTTTGGATTTTGTGGTACTTTTTGTAAGACTTACCCAAATTTCAATATCAGTTAGAAGCTACAAATTTTATTTTTGGGGTCTTATACTTTTGCAATGGAAAAATAATATATCTTTAAAACGCAGATTCTTAAGTAAACTAAAGGTGCAGATTGCAAATTATTTAATTCAACTTTTACTTCATGCCTAGAATTTAGCCTATGGTTCAACAAATAGTGTCATAAATTCAACACCATAAACTTTTATTATTTTTTTTGTAGAGTCATATCACCAAAACAAAAAGTTTTTTAGTATTGTTATTTTTTCTGGAGATTCTCCGTACTAATATATGGATAAATATTTATCTTTTAAAAATTGCCCATGTTGAGTTATTCTGAAAGCAATATGGCGACAAAAGTAAAATACCTTAAAGTAACATGTATTTCAACCCTTAAAACTTGATGTAGGCAAATCTTTTTTGATATTTTAATTGCATCATTTGATAGAGCTTGTTTTACACTTTTAGAAACAATTTTTTTTTTCTGATTAAATTGTATAACATTATTACAATACATAAAAATAAAATATAAAAGTATATATATTACAACAAAAATAAGTTAAATTAGATAGGGGCTCAAAGAAGATAAGGATAACATTACGTTATCGCAATCTTTTCATAGAACCCCTAGGTACAAGTTTAAATAAAACAAGGTAAGAATAAATAGCTCGTATAAAATTATAATAATAGCAATGTTATCATTAAAAAGTCAAGGCAAGGTTAAATTAATCAAAAAAGTAAAAAGAAAAAACTTTATCTTAGGTTCAAATTTTAAAAGTTTCTTTTTTTAAATGAAACTTAAATGAATTTAAAGACTTCACCATAAATTTAAATTCTTTTTTCCATAATTTAGGTCCTCGATAAGATTTACAAAATTCTGAGAGTTTATAACATTTCCGAGGCAATTTAAAGTTTTTATTTCTATTTGATCTTTAAACATACTTTTCATTTGAATTTATTTCAAACTTATCTTTGAAGTTTGCATGCAAGAGGTTGTTATAGCATCTATACATAAAAATTAGATGCTGATAAATATTTATTTCAAATATATCCATCATTTTCATATCTCTCATAAGAGGTTTTGCATGTTCACGTTTATGTTTACAGTATATAATACGGCAAGCGCCTATAAACTTTTTGAAGTTTTAAAGTTTGCGTACTTGCCCATGATATATTTGCATAATTAATAAAACAGTGTATCAGTCCAAAGTATATTAATTTGAGACTTAACATATTGACGTATGGTCTAACCCTATACATTACGCCAATAGTTTTGGTAACTTTTGAATGTATGTAATTTATATGGGAAGCCAGGATAAATTTCCATCCACAAGGATTCCGAGGAATTTTATATTTGCTTGCTTTTTAATTATTGTATCATTTAAATACAGTTCGCGCAATTTAAGAGGAATGTTTAATTCTTGTGTTTTTTAATGGAATAGAGTATAGTTGGTTTTGTCAACATTAAGTGTGAGTTTGTTAGCTTCAAACCAACTATTTACTTTATTCAATTCTATGTTCATATCTGTATAAAGATATTTAATATGATTATTGGTAAGAAATAAACTAGTATCGTCTGCAAACATTATTGAGTTCAGTTTTAATGATGCATTACAAAACGTCAGGTTAGAATTATTTTGTTCTAACTCTCCATTTCTTTAAACTGAGATAAATCAAGTTGAAGTTTTACACTGCAATCCAGCAGGAGTGGCAATACATTTATTAATAATGCAAACGTTTTTCAATACTTGACTATATGCTCATTATAATTATTTGTTGTGAAAATTTTTTTTTTTGCTCAAATCGCTATTATGGCCCCACCCTGTTTGGAGATAGAACAAAATAACTTTTAAATTTTAACTTCGTGTTAATATTATTTTGTGCTATCTCCATTTTTTAGTAAATACAACTTGAACGTTTTGCGAGGAGTTGATGGATTACAAGAAATTACTTTTAATTTAGGGATTTAAAAGCAAATATAGACCCTAAAACACTTAGTTGGCAAATTTAAATGGATATGGTCATTTAATAAGTTTTCTAGATATATTGCTCTTGGTAGGATGGGCAGCTTCAATTACAACAAACTGATTTTAACCAAAGCTATATTATTTATAATAAAATTACTTTTATCTAAAAAGATTTATTGAAAATAAAAAAAAAATGTCTTTAATACAAATAACAAGTTAAGAACAGTTTAAATGAACCTTATACAAGATAAAATTGAATAGTGCATAACACAAATAAAGTATATCCGGATAAAGAGTTAAAAAAACAACTACTGAAATAATGTTTTATAGAAACAAACATCTACAGCTGGCATGTAAGGATACAAAGAAACAATGTCTTTTATCTTCTCACTAGAAATTTCAATATTTTGTCGAAAACAAGATGCCAATGGAACTGATGATTCTTCAAGATTACTTCCTGATGATCGTGTGTTTTTTGGCTTAGACAACCGTGCGTCTTTATAAATATCTGTAAAACGAGTCTTGAAATACACATGACCAGGAGCATTAAACCTATATACAAGCGTTTTAACATTAAAGTATGGAACATTTTTGTAGTTAAGAAGACTAGCAATTTTTGAAAAATTTTTAATATCGCTTTTTTGCATTTGGTATACAAAAAATGGTTTACGTTGGTTAACATTCAACTTTGCTTTCACCAACCCAAGAGGACTAAATATTTCTGCTGAATGTAATGATTTCTCAATCTGACTATGTATATTATCACATTCCTGAAAAGAGCTGTGCCCTGGCTCACAATACTTTTGCTCAATGATTTCAATATTTGGATGATCAATAAGAAACTCACGCAATTCAGCTGACATAATAATGTTTCTATTCTGTGGAAGGCAAGAATCAAACCAAAGTATAAATTTATTAATATTAGGAAGATCCTTGTAAACTTTATTTAGCATACATATCACAGCACTGGCAATGTCATTACCAGAACGACCTGACATACCTTCATGCCATAATATACAATATGCTTTTTTGTTCAGTTAAGAGTGACCTGTTAAGTTATAACAGCTGAGCTTTCTTTTATAAAAGAAGTTTCCCACATTACTTTTTGGCAAGCTCAAGACATTTTGTAGATCAATACAAACTATGGTTGTGGAAGGGGAGTTCAACTTTCGATCCTTATCTCTCTCAATTTTTGTTTCATTCTTTGATGCAATATGCTTGTTATACTTTTGGATTTGCTCTTCATATGCATCTTCAATAATTTGAAATTTGTAGCATGTATCACACAGATCCTTTTTCGGCTTTTGAAATTCAATATTAAATTTTGTATTAAAAACATTGCGGTACATACATGCCTTTGCTGGTGAAACTTCATATTGAGTGCAATATGTTAAATACAAATTATAAAGTTTCTTCAAATTTAATGACCCATCAAAGTATTGTTTGCAGGAAATGCTTCGACAATAATGTGACTCAACTCGTGGAAACAAGTTAATATGGTTTTCTATACTCTGTTTAGTCATTTCAAGAACTTTTTTTTTACAATGTTTCCCCCATTTTGTTGGGGCAGGAACACCAGTTTCAAGTTTATTTTCATGATAGTATGATATTTGCCTGCTGCTGATGTCTAATATAGACAAATAAAACTCCTTACATACACGATGCTTGATATTATCAACAAGGAAATTGTAAAAATAAGTTTTCTCCTTGAATTGCTTACTTTATTGGTTCGAGATCTTTTTTTAACTAATCGTTCAGTAGTTTTAGTAAAAAAGGGTTGCTTTTCAATCTGAGACATTCCCCACAGTCCATTAAATAATATTTTTCTCTCATTTTCTGAAATCTTCTCAAAACACTTAAACTTGCAACAATTTTTACATTTTTTTTTTATTTTTAATACTTCTTGGTTGAATAACTTTGCCTCTAACATTTATATATTCCTTTCCTGATAGTCTAAGTTTTTCTTTTTGACTGTTTCCAGTTGTAACAGTTTGCTTTACGTTTTCTTGTTTTCCCACCATGTGGAGGTAATCGCAGTTGATCAGAAATTAAAGGATGCGTTGAAACATAGGGTGTAACCATGATTTTAGCTTGTTGTGGGTAATCTGAAAATAAAAATTAAACATAAAAAAGGTTATGCAATGCAAAATAATTTTATGTTTAAAGATATATTATTTTAAGAAGAGACAAATTTTGTCCATATATGAAACGATTCATTTGAGTCTTTATTTATTTAGTATATAAAACGTGTTGTATATAGGGTAAAGGAAGGTATGTTCGTGATAAATTAACTAGATGTGTAATTACAAAGTCAATTTCAGTAATTTTACTTAATTACTTTAATTGTTTGATGTACATAGAGTAAAGTTACTAGAATCTATGCAGTTTTGGGATTTTAAGTCCTTTGATAAGTTTTTATAAAAGCTCAAAAGTCATCGAGAAAAGTTAGGTAATTTTGTGATATGATATTTAATTTCGTGATAGTGGTTAGGTAATTTCGTGAGTACACAATAATATTTAAATTTTTCTTTATTAATTAAGTATAACATCTGGTATAATATAACAAAAAATATCAACACTTGTTTTGAATTTATAACTATAAATATAAAACAAGTGTTATAATCAGACTTTAAGTTCATAAAATATAAATATAGTCAGGCTTATAAGTTAACAAAATTATAATAATACT